TATATGTGTGTGTGTGTGTGTGTGTGTGTATATATATATACATACATATATATATCTATATATATATATAGATTGTTATCCAGTCATCTGTTGATGGTTTTTGGGTTGTTTCTTTCTGGTTATTATGAATAATGTTTTATGAACATTCATGTTTTACTTTTTGTTTGAACATTTTTCAATTCTTTTAAGGTCTACAGCTATTAGTGAAAAGGCAGTTCACATGAGACTCTCATTATGCTTATGTTGGTACACTTGATGGTATTCCACACATCTTTGAATATCTGTTCATTGTTTTTTTTTTTTTTTTAATAGGAAAAAATTGACCAATCTTTAGCTTCACCAAATATTTCTTCTGCCTGTTCCAATCTGCTATTGGCCACTTATGTTGAATTATCCGTATCATTTACTGTACTTTTCAATTCCTAATTTTTTTTTCTCTTATAATTTCTATCTCATTGTTGATATTCTCTATATGGTAAGACTGTGTTCTCAGATTTTATTTTAGTTTTTTAAACATTGTTTCCTTCGGTTCTTTGTACATCTTCTCAAAATGGTTTATTTAACGTCTTTGTTGAATAATTCTGAAGTCTGGGCCTCTTGGGGGGCAGTTTGTTTGCTTTTATTTCTCCGTATATGGGACATACTTTGTTTCTGCAGGTCTTCTAGTATTTTAGAAAACTGGTCATTTTAAGTACTATAATGGTGCAAATCTAAAAATCAGACATTCCTCTCTCCCTAGGGCTTGTTGTTCCTGTTTTTTGTTGCCGTTTAGTGTACTTTTGTGAAACTGTCAAGTCTGGATTCTTTGTTGTGTATGGCCACTGAAGTTTCTGCTTCATTAGTTTAGTGGTACACTAATAACTGGACAGAGATTTCCTTCAATGCCTGGAATCAACACTTCTCCAATTTTGCTGAGAGGCTCTGTGTGTGTGTACGGGGGCACACCTTCAGCACTTAGCCAGGAAGTGGACAATTCCACCTGAGCCTTCATTTCCTGCTTGCGTAGAACCTCAAGGTCAGCTAGAAGTTAAGAGCTTAGCACCTTCTCAGCTCTTTCCTGAACACAGACACAGCCCTATGCATGCACATGACTTGCTTAATTCCAAGAAATGTCAAAACTTATCAAAGTCCCTAAGGATACTGAATTCTCCAGATTTCCTTTCAAGCTTTTTGATAAACGCATTTGCCTCAACTGTTATTCACTGCCTTAGGCAGATGTGATGTTAAACAATTACCTCTGATAGTTTTTGAAAAGTGACATCAGGAGAAAAGGCTTTTCACACTGAGCAAGTTCTTGGTCAAGACAGACTTGCAAGTGGGGTCTTCCAGTGGATAACCACATTGGTCAAATAATGACAGTTCTCAGTGAATGTATCTTTGAAGCAGGTCCAACCCTGTTTTTCTTCCTCTAGTGGCTGCCAGGGTGCTGGTTTTCACTATGATTGTGAGCTGCTGGTTCTCAAAACTATCAAGGATCTGAGGAGTGAGAAGTTGAAAATAGGGCAAGTTAAAATGTCACAAAGATCACTGTTCCTATCAAGATGCATCCTTTCCTGAAAAATACTCCCTGGATTGCAGTCAACCTGTGGCTAACTCCATAGTTCAGAACAGGTTGATTCTGACAATATAGTTTTCTCACTGCTTTTTAGGGAGAGAATTTCAGTATGTCTTTACTCCACCATTTTTGCTGACATCATTTCGGGTAACTTTCAAACTTCGTTTTGAGACCATTTGTCCTTGAGCTAAAGAAAAAAGAACTCTAAAACTATACTGAACTTTGGCTAGTAGACTTGTATTTTGCAGAGGCATCAGTTAGCAATTTTGAAACTAACTTCTGTGTATTCTAGGGATGAGATAATAAGTAAATACACTGTGGATAAGGAGAACCATATTTCTCACTGTTAGATAGCAAAAGGATACAAGACAGCCTGAGTAGGCTCCGGCTGGCCAAATTAAGGACAATTTGAGCATCAAAATAAACAATGGATTTCTAATGCTGACGATTATATAGTAATAGGAATCAGACTGGCCATTCTACATTAAATGACTAGAAGACTGGATAAAATATATAAAACTTAGGTTTTCAGACAATGGACAAAAGGCAGTACAATATAGTAATAACTCAGAGAAAGAAAACAAACCAGTTGAGCGCTTTAGCTCATTGCATGGAGTTTCAAACTACACTGCTGAGGGAAGGAACCCTAGAATAGCTCAGTGGCCTTACTGAAGAGACAGAGTTCGGAGTTTACATAGACTACTGTGACTAGAATTTGAAGCAAAATACTAGAGAGGAAGGAGATGAACAGAAAACAAGTGCTCTGGAGATCTTTGCAGGACCCTGTCAAGCCTATGGCTTAAGACTGATCTGTGCAATGTATGAGGAATCTGCCAAGGCCAGGAAAAAATTCACCAGAAAGGAGTTTGTGAAACAACCTACAAAGGGCCAGGTGTAGTTTGTGTTCTCATCTCACCAGATATAACAAAAGGACTTGCTAAATAAAAGACAAAGCATCAGGCAGGATGCTCAGAATGGGAATGCCTCTGGAGTGGAGCCAAATGAACCCTACACCAAGGTTTCTCAATCTTGGCACTGCTGACATTTTGGGATGGGTAATTTCTTGCTGTATACAAAGTAGAATGTTCACTAGCATCCCCGGCCTATATTCACTAGATGTAACACAAAATATCTGCAGATGTTGCGAAATGTTCCCTAAGGGTAAAACTCCCCAAAACTGAGAGCCACTGCAGACAAGATCATTAAAACAGCTATTAACGTCCCATGTGTTCAAGGAAGTAGAGAAAAACCTGAACACGATAAGAAGACAAATGAAATATTATAACAAAAACAATGGCAAAGAGAGGGGGAGAGAAGAGGAGGAAGAGGAGGAGGAGGAGGAGGAGGAGGAGGAGAGCCACGGATAAAGCAAATGTGTTAATGTTACTGTTTGGAGAACCTGGGTGAAGAATATTGTGCAGTAAAGAATTTGGCTTTGCCCAAAGAGAGAATTGCCTTTGCCACTGGCTTCTTGGAGGTAATCTGAGGAATACCTGATAGAAGTCTCTTTGTTTAGGGCAGCAGCTAGCTACAATCATTTGGGCAATCAACTGATCATGCTTACATATTGCAGCCACCACAAAAATTCTGGACACCAAAACTTGAGTGAGCTTCTAACACTGGCCAAACTCTAAGCACACTGATGCCAGGATGGTAAAGTGTCCTGAGGACAACAGAAGCTTTGTGTTAGTTAGAACCCTCACAGACATGGTCCTATGCATCTCTTCCTTTGAGAGGTTCTAATTTGTACCCTTTCCCTGTAATAAACAGTAACTCTGAATAGGTTTCAGTGTGTGTGTGTGTGTGTGTGTGTGTGTAGGTTTCAGTTAGTTCTGGGAGTTTTGTAGCAAATTTTTGAACCTAAGGGTGTTTGGGGAACCCTTCACCCACAACCCCCACCTCCAAACCTGCAGAGGTGTCAGAAGTATGAGAAGTGACAGTGGTCTCGTGTCTTGTGTGGGCTCTTCCCTCTAACCCTGTAGCTGGGCCCTGATTCCTTGCAGTAGGATAAGAAGTCTAGGACAGACTTGGTGGTCTGGAGGACAGTACTCTCCAAGTCACAATTTGGCTAAACCTGGGTAGGCATGGACACATTTTTCTTTCACCTTTCCTGTAATAATTTTTCATAATTAAAATTTCAATGGAAATTAATTTTAATTTTATATAATTGACATGTCAAAATAAAATTTTTTTTTTTTAATTTTTTTTTCAACTTTTATTTTATTTTTGGGACAGAGAGAGACAGAGCATGAGCGGGGGAGGGGCAGAGAGAGAGGGAGACACAGAATCGGAAACAGGCTCCAGGCTCTGAGCCATCAGCCCAGAGCCTGACGCGGGGCTCGAACCCACGGACCGCGAGATCGTGACCCGGCTGAAGTCGGACGCTTAACCGACTGCGCCACCCAGGCGCCCCTCAAAATAAAATTTTTAAAGCAGGGAAAGTAAATTTTGCATTCAACAGCAAAAAACAATTTTCTTTCTGTATACTCTCTTGAATTCCATTGCTTTAGTTATCTAAATTCTTAAGCTCTTGAAAATGACAGAAATGACTCTCCAGAGCTTATGAATTTCTGCTAACCAGAGGCCTTTTCCTGCCATTAACAGCAACATGGAATTTCCTTATCTTTAGTTAGTTAACCAAGAACCTTTAATTTCTTCCAGAGAAGCCAAAGTGAAACATTTGAAAGGAGTTTCAAAATCCTGTCTTTCTTTGAAATAACAGTACTGTATAGCGAGAATAGGCCCTTCCCCTGTGAGGCATCTCATAACCTCATTCAGTTCTCTGGAAATGCTCCTTCAATCATACCTCCTTCAGGATTTGTCCTTATAAATAAATTCCCATCCATGATTCCACAAAAAAAAATGTTTCTATAAAAGCACATTAAAGTAACTACATGTTATACATTCTTGATATAAACAAGTATTTCTATGCAGTGACATATATAACCAATTTTTTGGTCGTGTTGCTACACTTAAACACGTATGTTTCCTAAAAACTAGAGATAAAATTCAGAAATCAAAAACTGGGAGCTTATTTTAAAAGTCAAAGAGATCACAAATCATTAAAAGTATAATAAAAATTAACATTTATTTTTATAATTTATTGTCTTCATACCCATAATAAAAGTTAACTTAGTTTTGCTAAGAATAACTCTTAGGAAAGATGATCTATTTTAAATAACTATAATTTCCTCATATTTTCCACTGTAAAATATATCTCCTAAACATTCATTTTCAAGGCAAGAAACAAGAGCTACACTTGTCATATTCACTTCATGATAAGTGCACATGACCAAGACCGAGAGAGTTGTGATCTCAGAATTCTTGCACAGAGGGAAGAGTGCGGGTATATTATTAAGAAACAATTTAAGTATGTACTTGATTTGTGCACGGCTTATGTAAACATAACTTTAATAACAGGCTGGTTCACAGAAAGAAGTCCTAATCAATCATCAAATGTAATTTTTTTCCCCTGAAACACAGCAATTTTAGACTGCTGTTCTTTCCGCCTCCTGCTTGCTTCCCATGAAGGATGAAGAGGCAGCTGTGACTGCTGTTTTGTATTTTCAAGTCCTCTCTGTGCACTCCTATTAAACGGATTCTTGAGCTGAAGTTCATTTTGCCGAAAACCTGGGAGGAGAAAGCAAAAATAGTGAAAACTAAATGCCTAAAGACCATACAAGAGAAAGACATTTCATTTTCTCACATCAGCGTTTAAAGAAGGAATTTAATTTTACTTCAATGGTATATATCACAATTTAAAATCTAAGTCTAACAGGAATAGTTTGAAATTGTAATATACATATGAATAGGCAATTTCGGGACACATGCCTTCTAATATTTTAAACAGATGTTTATTGTGTATCTCCTCATGTATGTTGTGCTGTCTTATTTGCATTGAGGAAACAGTTTAAGAAAGAAAACAATGCAGACAACATGGAAGGCCAAGAAAAAAAAAAAGAAAAAGAAGAAAAAGAAAAGAGCATCTTATATTTTCAAAGGAACATCATTAGTTTAGGATATCTGTGTATGATGTAGCCAGAAAATTCACATATATTTACTAAAATACTCGATTTGACCATGGTGATGGGAGGAGAGATGAATTTTTAAAGGGCTACTGACTGATTCCACTGCCTTGTTATTGAACATAAAATTATTATGAGATAAATTACTAAATTCACTCCAATTTAAGACAAAGCTCTTTTTCAATCATAAAATTATCCACCAGATACAAGGGTGGCAAGTTGCTTCTAGTCCTTACATCCTCTTAAATTATAAGATACTTAAAACTACGTTATTTTTTTTTTAACGTTTTATTTATTTTTGAGACAGAGAGAGACAGAGCATGAACGGGGGAGGGGCAGATAGAGAGGGAGACACAGAATCGGAAGCAGGCTCCAGGCTCTGAGCCATCAGCCCAGAGCCCGACGCGGGGCTCGAACTCACGGACCGCGAGATCGTGACCTGAGCCGAAGTCGGCTGCTTAACCGACTGAGCCACCCAGGCGCCCCAAAACTACATTATTTTGAACAAGAAAGTAGCGTTTGTGAGAAACACATCAGCCAGAAAAGACATGAATTAATGCATGTTTATAGAATGAGGGTGGGGGAAAGGGAGACAAAAATGTAACAGAGATTTTAAGTAGTACGTGGGAAGTGTAATTTCTCCACTGCAACTTAGACATCATTCACTGTCAAAAGCGTTCTCAAGATCTCCTTAAAAAGTAAATGTCGTAACATTACACAAACAAACGCACACAGTTTGGGACAACATTTCCAAAACATTTATTGTACACAGAATTCAAAACGTCCTGCATGCTACACAAATCACATGTGGTCTAGAAATCTGATATAATACTCAGAGTGGCTCTAGTGATGAAGAACAAAGAGTTTAAATGTTAAAAGAAACTGCTTCATAAAAAATGAGATTTAAATAAGGCAGGCTTCTAAACTAATATATATATTTAGATAATTAGGTAAAGTATATTTGTAGGTGTAAACACATTATAAATTAAATTCTATAAATATATAAGCTAAGCGAAAAAACAAAAGCCCTTCCACTTGGGTCTCCTCACTGGGAAAATGTGGGGGGTGCCTGCAGTTTACAGTTACTCTGTGTCTGAATATAAGGTGAATGAGGCAGATGCCAAGTGTCTGCCAGACCTACTTTTCTTTTCCTCCTGGGTGCACAGCCAGGATACATTCCCCATCCTGACCACAGCTAGATGAGGCCATGAAGCTGAGTTATAGCCAAAGACATGTGAACAAAAGGTCTGATCAGAAAAACCTCACATTCGATCCTTTAATCTCTCTCTCTGCTCCCAGAGAGCACAGAGAAATCCCAGAGGCACGAGATGGAAGGAGGCTGCAAAGAGCACATAGGCTGTGACGAATGAGAATTCAATCACCACGATTTGGTGGCTGCTTGCTACAGCAGGCAGTCTACTACGAATAAGAGCAAAGTGCCACTCGGAAGGAGGATGCAGCCATCACAACAACATGTACAGTTGGCAGTGGCTCGGCCGTTCAGTGGTAGGTGGTAAGGAAATGGATACCCGAGGCTGAAAAGTGGGCATATCTCCCATGCCAATGGAATGGGTAGAACTGTGGCCATTCTCACTGTTGCCAAGTGAGAACCTGGGAGGCAGCCTGTATGCCTATGGAGTTCCCAACACCAGGGTAGGTGGTGGGAAAGAATAAAAGAATTAGTGTACTGATGGCTCTTTGGCAACAGACTACAAAAAAGAGCAGCGTCCAGGAAAGAACTGGCCAGCTCACAGACAGAAACTGAAAGCAACAGAGAATCCAGATATCTGGGAACTAACTTAAGGTTAAGAAAAGCCTTTGGACTTTGAAAGTAAGACGGGAGACTAAGATTTTAAGCAGTAAAGGCCTCTGGAGATTCAGCCCCAGAGCAAAGTTAAGAGTAGAGTATGGCCTTCTCAACCAAACCTGAGAGTCTCAACACAGCAGACACATGGAATGATGCTTGGGGTGGGGAAAAAAATACCCTCAAACATAAAGAAAGCAAGTTTGACAACTTGCTCTAGGAAAAAATTGGTGGTGTGGTGACTAGCTCATGGATGGACTAACGGGAAATGAAGAAGTCAGAAATCCACTAAGTTTTGGAGGGACCTGTGTTGTGACAGAAACCCTAAGTCTGGGCTGAAAAAACTCTCTTGACTGTGAAAGACTCTGAACGGTCTCCAGGACCATATGTTTTTACCAGTCACTTGGTGCAGCCCCCAGGGAAATTATACCAAATGTCTGCTTCAGGTGTGGTCATAGAACAAAAACCTCCCAAGAAGACAGTCAGAAGCCAGGAAGAACAATGGACAAGGAAGTTCCTCCAGCTCCTTTACAATTTTTGCTCAGTAGTGGTAGACATGTTATGTGCCTCCCAATTCTCTCTTAACTGACTGGAAGTTTATATTGTGGTTACCTTGTCCCTGATCTGCCACTAAATATTTGGTTATGAGCTGGGGACGGGCAGTCTGTGTTTAAGTGGCCAGGCCACCAAACTTGGGGCAGTCCCATCCAGGAAACCAGATGGAAAGTACCGCCTCATCCAGGGGATGGATGATGCTGGGCTGGGACTCTGAGGTGGATTCCCTGGGAAGGAGAGAAGTGTGCTCTGTTTGGGGGAGGGGCAGTGAAATGGAATCTCTCACATCTGGTGATGGAAGGATGGTCAGTGGCAGACAGTTACGTGTTTAAGAAATTCCACTTTCTTTTTTCCTCCTAACCACACAATTAGACAACGTTTCTTAGCTCCCCTGTGGCTAAATGGCACCATATAATTGAATTCTGGCTAATGAATTATGAGTGTAACTGATTCCTGCCACTTTCTGGCCTGGCCCATGAAAACCTCCTGCACAATTCTCCATGTACTTCTTCCCTTCTGCTGGCCAAACGGAAACTGCAGGAGAAAGGAGCCACAAGATGAAAGGAGCCTGATCCTTGAATTACTCTATGAAACTGTCAATTCACAGTGGACTGTGATGTGAGTGAAAAACAGATTTTCATTATTTTAAGCCAGTGAGAGTCAGGGATTATGTATAGAAGTGAGACTACCCAAATATATTTAATTTGACTTGTTATGAATTAATGTGAAAATACTTTTACTCTTAACCCAGAAAGTAACATACTTGTTACTGAATATTTAATAGTATGGTGCTAAGACATAACGTATGTGATAACTCAGTTCAAGAGAAATCAAATAGAGCCAATATGTCCTGGTAAGTTTTATTTACACCTTTCCTCCTGGCACAGATAGGTAATAACAACAACAACAAAAAAACCAATTACAATTTAAAAATCACACTGATAATTAGAAAATGTTCTGTTCCCCTTTCTGTGGGTACATAATTCATTCAGACTATTAAGCAACCCGGAGTTTTTATCCTTCCATTCTGGAAAAGCATCAGTTAACTATATAGAAAGGGCAGGAAGCCAGTAATACATACCTGGGGTTTTGCTTTTTGGAGGCTGTTCTCTGTAATTTCCAAAAGAAGAAAAGACCATTAGGACTTTAAAAAGATAAATAACTTTACAAAGATAAAATAAAATAAACTAGGGATAAAACTCAAAGGACTATCGCACTCCCTCATCCCCCCAACAATCGTTAAAAAAATGATAACCGCCCCCCCCCCAAGTTTTAGCTGTATCAAAGTTTGATTTTACAATCAGTATTTACAACCAATATTACAACAGAAACGTGTGAATTTCCTTCTCACCCCACTTCCTTACAGGGACTTCTGGTCATAAAATATCCTATCTTGGTTAATCTATTGTCTCCACTCTTGAAGACCATCCAGACAAAAAATTTCTAAAGTCTTCATAAAGCAGGAAAGAGTCACATGTAACAAAAATTAAGATTTACATTTTGTGAGAGATGGAAGGGATAACGGTATGTTATTCTCAAGTGAGAAAAGAAATGGAGCCTTGTGAGGCAGGTTTGGGACACATAAAAACGATTTTAATTAATTTTAAGGTTCCAAATATGGTTGTGTGTCTTTCTACACTTACTTCCCTGGAAAATGTTAACATCACAAGTTTCTGTTCTATTAAAAATTATCCCTGACTTTACAAAAACAATTTTCTGAAGAAAATAGCTGTTACTGAAGAAATAATGTAACCATGTGAAGCTATCTCCTACCAGATTAGAATTACAAATGAAATTAAACTTACTGACTTATCACAGGAGAGCTGTGGAAACTGGTGGTGAATAGCAGGGACAGAGGCAGCAACATTACCAAATACACAGGAGTCCGGAGAAGCTCAGTGAGAGCAAGCATTTCATAAGAAAAGGACTGATGTTTAAAATGATGGCTCTGGGTTGTCAAAAACATAGCCCTCTGTTCTTTTTTTTTAATTTTTTTTTTTAATGTTTATTTATTTTTGAGACAGAGACAGAGCGTGAACAGGGGAGGGGCAGAGAGAGAGGGAGACACAGAATTGGAAACAGCCTCCAGGCTCTGAGCTGTCAGCCCAGAGCCTGACACGGGGCTCGACCCACAAACTGTGAGATCATGACCTGAGCTGAAGTCGGATGCTTAACTGACTGAGCCACCCAGGCGCCCCAAAGCCCACTGTTCTTTTCAGAAAGTTCTATTTAAAGAGTAAGATATGTGAGATATTTTCAAAAGGTTTTCATCAAAAGCAAATTCAAAGTTTGAAGACTTTGGTCATCTAAGGGATAAACTTAAATTAGCTGGACAAATTACCTGGCTACAGGATAAATGTGGCACTGCCATTTAGGTATTTTAAACAATTTTTATTTTAAGATGTCCCCTTTCTTTTAAAGCTTATTTATTTATTTTGAGAGAGAGAGGACAAAGCAGGGCAGAGAGAGGCAAAGAGACAGAGAATCTCAAGCAGGCTCCAACAGTCAGCACAGAGCCCAATGTGGGGCTTGAACCCAGAACCATGCGTGAGATCATGACCTGAGTTGAAATTGAGTCAGATGCTCAGCCAACTGAGTCACCCAGGCACCCTCCCATATGTGTATTTGTAAATATGATCCGAATATAACATTCAAAAGGGCCAAGTCTAAACAAAGGATGTGTTGTATAAATTACATGTATGTATGGGAGAGATTCTGTCGTAGTTAGGATGTGCAGATATTTCTTATCTTTAAAAAAATTAAGAACTAATAATTATTTTAGGATAGAAAAAATACTCTTACCTTCTGGAGATTTTAGATCCAGATAAAGAATGGAAAAACACTGACTCAAACTTCCTTGATTCTGTACTTGACGGGTTTTTGTCTTTTCTTATATTCTGATGGGTTTCAAGTAGATCTTCTTCAGGTAACACTTTTTTGGGGGGGTTTTGTTCCTTAACTGAAGAATGGCAACTACTTTCTTTCTTTCGTGTCCGTCTGACTTTCCCAATGAAGAAGTCATCACCACTGTCACTATCCTCAGACATTGAAGACTGTTTGTAAAACCTTTCTTCTGTGCTATCATCAAAATACTCCTTTTCTTCTTCCTGTAATTCTTCTCCATCACTGTTATCACCAAGGGAGCTATTGGACCCTTTACTTTTTTTAGTTTTACTTATTGTTTTCATTTTTGGGTCAGCAGGTGTCTTCCGCGGTTCAGATGGAACTACAGAATCCCTTTCAGAAGGCTTTGATGGAGAATCTGGAATGTCTACAGCATTGGGTCCATGTTCCATCTTGGTTATTTTTTCTTTTGAATTTCTTGGTTTCTTTGCCGATATTTTGGCTTCTTTCTCTTTTTGCTCACTGACAATAGTTCCTTCATGCTGTAACTTACTGGCATCATCATTTGAACACAAAGTGTCCTTGGAATGATTTTCTACTGAAGCATTCTTTGATGAGTTAATTTCAACAACATTTTGTCTTGCATCTTTAAAAGCTTTGACAGCAGCTGCAAAAGAAATAGCACATGACTTGCTTCAGCATTAAAACAGATAATAAAACATAACTGTTTCAGTACAGTATTTCTTCAACTATTTGGATATACTTAAGAGGACAACTGCAATTATATATGCAAATATATATATGCAAATATATATGATAGATCTGAACCCACAGAAGAACTCTAGTGACTTTATTTTATTTTTTTTATTATTTTTTTTTTTAATTTTTTTTAAAGTTTATTTATTTTTTTGGGGACAGAGAGAGACAGAGCATGAACGGGGGAGGGGCAGAGAGAGAGGGAGACACAGAATCGGAAACAGGCTCCAGGCTCTGAGCCATCAGCCCAGAGCCCGACGTGGGGCTCGAACTCACGGACTGCGAGATCGTGACCTGGCTGAAGTCGGACGCTTAACCGACTGCGCCACCCAGGCGCCCCTCTAGTGACTTTAAAAACCAAACTGAGAAATGCTCAGAGGTATTCAATTTAAAACTCTAAAATTAACCATCCTTTCAGGCCTTGGAATTATGAAAAACAGTGGAAACTTCAGTGAATACAAATAAGAAAAATAAAATGGCCACTTCAATTTCTTTAGCAAAATTGTGTTGATATGGTTGTGGCACATTATAAATCGTGCTTTCAGACATAAAAATAAATATCTTCTAATCTGTGACAACATTTAATTCTTTCAACGCATTTTATAATAATGAAAATTATGTGAGTATGTGACAACATTTAATTCTTTCAACGCATTTTATAATAATGAAAATTATGTGAGTACGTGGCCACATCAAAAGTAATATTAATAATTACATTAATATTTAGCAAACCAGTTGTATTAAAATTTACCATGAATATATGTTATATATATAAATACATACATATTTATATATTAGAATTTAGGAAAAAATACAGATTTAATTTTTCATTAGACATCAGATAACTTCCATATCAGGCACCTTACCACATTTAAAAATATTTGAAGGAGATATTTATAAAAGGTCCTCAAAATGAAAAAAAAAAAAACATAGAATAAATAAATCAATAGCCATTTATTCAGAATCATATACCCAAGTGCATTTAGGTACATGGCTTAAAAGTCATTTAATTCATACCTTTTAGCACATCTATTTTTTTCTTCAGAAGAGGATGCACTGCTAGCCTAGCAATTGCTCTTTCAGTTGCAGTAGAATCAGGCTGCAAATTGAAATAATAAACATGGGAATAAAAGCCAGATAGTACTATTAAGAAGTGAGTAAAAGAAAATCTATCGTAATTTTTTTATTTTTTTATTTTTTCAATATATGAAATTTATTGTCAAATTGGTTTCCATACATCACCCAGTGCTCATCCCAAAAGTATCGTAATTTTTTTAAAACGAAGAGCTAGGTAACAGGAATTTGTCAGTATTCTCATTAGATAAATCACTTGTATAATCCATGATGAAGAAAAAATAAAGCTCATGGTGACAAAAATAATACTGCCCTGAACAATTAAATCATCTAATCAGGAACACCTCGGTGGCTCAGCTGGTTAAGCAGCAGACTCTTGCTTTTGGCTCAGGTCATGATCTCATGGTCTGTGAGATCGAGCCCAGGGTTAGGCTCTGTGTTGCCAGTGCAGAGCCTGTTTGGGATTCTCTCTCTCTCTGCCCCTCCTCCACTCATACTCTCTTTCTCAAAACAAATAAACTTAAAAAAATTATGTCATCCATTAACAAATATTCTTTGTGGTCTTAGTATATCTCCAGAACTGTGGTAGGCATCCTGTGTGATGGGGAGGGGGAGTGGGGGGTAAGCCCCTGCTTTCAAAGAGCTTAAAAAATCTAGTTAAAAATAGACTAAATAAATATGAAAGAACCAAATAACATATTAGTACTAAGCTGGGTGATTCAAAATATTGTACTGTTTGAAATTCCAGTTAACAGAGATATAGAAATTATCTGATGTTAAATATCTGTATTTTGAATGTCTCAATATCTCTACTGTACTCTCAGAATGTTCTACCAGTGCTTGGCTGATAGCCAACACTTCATAAACTTGATGATGCCTGAATGGAAGCTGATTATATATAATAGTTAATATATTTATGAATTTAGAAAAACCAATGATTTGGGATAATTTCTTTGAAAATCATCTGTAGGCTGACAACTTCCAAATTTCTAACTGCTACTCTAACTTGAGATTGAGGCTCCTGTATGAACCTCCTGCTTGACATATTAAAAGAGAATTCTTTGATATCCTTCCCAAACCTACTTCTTCAGTCTTTCCTATCTTATTATATGTAATTTCAATTTTGCTGGTTGTTCAGAACTAAAACTTTAAGAATTCTCCTATCACATTTCTCCTTCCTTCAGAGCTCACAATTATTCCTTTAGCAAATCTTATAGTTCCAAATGCAAAATAGATTCAGGGCCAGTCATTTCTCACCACTTCTGCTGTTAAGACTTTTGACCAATTCACCAACACCTCTCACCTGCAGCACCAACGAAATATCCTCAAACCTGGTCACCTGCTCCCCTACACCTGATTTTCCATATAGCATCACAGGGAGTTTTTAAAAGGTAACCAGATCATGGTATGTCCTTATCTCTTCTTCTTCAAGCTTTACTGCCTTCTGATGCTTAGGCTATTCCAATATATGCTCTTCTCTACCTGGAATGGTATACTCCCAAGTATATACATGGCTGATCATCTCCTATTATTCATGTATCTGCTCAAATGTTATCTGAACTAACACAACACTTGCCATAATTCTTTATTTACTTCACATCACTTAGCACCGCATGTCAGTGCAGGTATTTTCCTATCTGTGAGGCAGGGGCTTTGTTTTCCTCATTGCTACAGACATAGTGCTTGGATTGGTAACTGGTAACAGGCTGGATTCGATAAACATCTCATAAAACAAGTGAATACATTTCACTAGTGTGTCACGTAGAGTTGTCAGTCTTAAATGTCTTTATTTTAAATTTACTCTTCATTGTTAATGGACCAATATAAAGCTTTTTTTCCCTTAGTAATACAAACTTATGAGTACATTAGTAAGTGCAAGATGATGGCAGTTTGAAGTCTACCGTGTTTGAAGGACTTATCCAGGCAATGTACAAGAATCAGTTGCATTTCTATGAAATAGCTAAAAGGAAAATAAAGAAAACAATCCTATTTACAGTATCATAAAAAATGATAAAATACTTAGGAATAAATACAACAAAGGAAGTGAAAGATCTTTACACTTAAAACTCGATAAGACTTTAATAACAAATCAAAGAGGTTGCAAATAATTGTAAAGGTATCTGTAATTATAGATTGGAAAAATTAGTATTGTTAAAATATCCACAGTTCCAAAACTACCTATAAATTCAATGCAATCCCTATAAAAATGCCAATGGCATTTTTCATGGAAATAAAAAAAAAATCCTACAATTTGTATGAAACCACAAAAGACTCTGAATAGCCAGAGCAATCTTGAGATAGAAGAACAAAGCTGGAGGCATTATGCTTCCTAATCTCAGACTATAGTACCAACTTTTAGTAATAAAATAGTATGGTATTAAAATAAAAACAGACCCCATAGACTAATGGAATAGAAAGGAGAACCCAGAAATAAACATTTGCATGTACAGTAAACAGCTTTTTGATGAGGGAGTCAAGAATACATGACAGGAGAAAAGACAGTCTTTTAAATAAATGGTATTAGAAAAACTGGATATTCATATGCCAAAGAATGAAACGAGACCCATATCTTACCACTCACAAAAATTAACTTAAACTGGACTAAGAAGACTGAAATGTGAGAAGTGAAACGGTAAAACTCCTAGAAGAACACGTAGGGAAAAAAATTCCATGACAGTGGTTGTGGCAATAACTTTTTTTTGGATGTGATACCAACGGCACAAGCACCAAAAGCAAAAATAAACTAGTGGGGTAAGATCAAACTACAAACTTGCTGCGAAACATAAGAAACAGTCAACCAAGTGGAAAGGCAATCTACAGAATGGGAGAAAATATTTGCAAACCATATCTCAGATGAGGAGCTAAAATCCAAAATATGGAAGGAACTTATACAACTCAACAGCAAATAAATAAAACAAATAAAAATAAAATCTGATTAAAACATGGGCAGAGGACTTGAACAGATACTTTTCCAAGTAAGAAATGGCCAACAGGTACATGAGAGGAAGCTCAACATTACTAATCTCTGGGGAAATGCAAATCACCCAAAACCCTGATGAGAGATCATCTCATACCTGTCAGAATGGCTAGTATCAAAAAAAAACAAGAGCTAACAAGTGTTGGTGAGCATGAAGAGAAAAGGGAACCCTGGCACACTGCTGGTGAGAATGAAACTAGTACAGACACTAGGGAAAACACAGGAGGCTCCTAAACAAATTAAAAATAGAAGCAAATGAAGTTCAGTTATCTCAGAGAGATGCTGTGTTCACTGAAGTATTATTCATGATAGACAAGACATGGGAACAACCAGGAGTCCACTGATAAATGGAGTGAATAAAGAAAATGTGGTGTCTATATACATATATATGTAAGTATACACATATATATATACACATATATATACACAACGGAATATTATTTAGCCATGAGAAAGAAGAAAGTTCTTCCATTTGCAACAATGTGGATGAACCTGGTAGGCATTACAATGAGTGAAATAAATCAGACAGAGAAAGACAAATACTGGACTTGGAATTTAAAAATACCCAAACTCACAGAGACAAGACCAGATTGTTGGTTGCCAGAGACTGGTGTTAGTGGTGCAGGAAAAGTGGTGGAGGGGGAGACTTCAGTCAAAGGGTACAAACCTCCAGTAAAAAGATGAATAACATCTAGAGATCTAATACTCACCAGGTGATTATACATAACTATACTCTATTATATACTTGCAAGTTTCTGAAAGAGTAAATCTTAAATGTTTTCACCACACAAAAAAATTTTAATTATATAAGGTGACAGATGTGTTAATTAATTAACCTTATTATGGTGATCTTTCACAATATATATGTGTATCAAACCATCAAGTTGTAGAACTTAAACTTACACAATGTTTGCTACATGTCAATTATATCTCAATAAAACTAGAAACAAAAAATAAAAAAAAATTACCAAAATATTTAAAGTTACTATATCAGCATCTGTAGGCAAAAAGAAAAGAAATAGTTTCTCAAATTCTCATTCATTTAGCTGGAAATCTATTTAACAATAACACTGTCTTGTAGTTAATGTGACAAACCTACTTTGTGCACTATGGTATCTGCAAATATACATTTCAACATGTCCTTATTACTTCTAATTTTTATAAATTGGCAATTTTGATAAGGTCAGCTACTTAACACCACCGCCAAATATCTTAGAGAACAAAGTACTCCTGTTATACTGAAATCTGAAAAAATGTCAAAGCTATTTAAGAATACTTAAACATCAAGAGATAATACAGTGTAGAAATTTCATGAAAATCTTGGTGAGTATGTGAAGGTGCACAAAACATTTCATTTTTCTGGCAAAATGAAATTGAACACTGAGAGGATCAGCCCCGTCATTTTTAGATCTGACACAAAAAGGACTTTGGAGGGGGTTGAAAATGCATTACCAGAATGTTTGATCTGGAAGAGTTTATTAGAGAAATGAAAAAACACAACAAACAAACACAAACAAAACAAAACAAAACAAAAGCAGAGCCAGAGATAGTCAGTGCCCTGTCTAAAGCCATGAAACTAATGGCAAATCAACAGTAGCCAGAATGCAGAAACTCCTAGAAATTTAAGCTTCTTCCCTTTGCCGACCAGCAATCTTTGTAAAAAGAATGCATTGTACAGAACTCCTTAAGGTACATCTAGTCCTTCAAACTTCCTTACATTTAGTGGCCAGTTGTTTTCAATTAATTTAGATCTGTTCTTGATGGTCTGTTACTAATTTGCAAATCTGAGTAGCTTATGATTTGGGGAGTAGAATTCTAACTGGGAAAAAGGGCAAACCGAAAAACTGTTAATGGCATATACATACTTACATGCTTTATCAATACTAAGGATTTCAGTTAGACCAATAAAAAATGTGACACATGTATTTCTTAAAATATTTGATTTTAAAAAACTCTTAGTTAAAAATATCACATTTTATAAGCGAAAACAACCATTTAAATAAACTTCATTTCTCCTAAGGAAACAATGCCAAATTTAACATTTTAAA